ATAAGTGTGTAAGAGTATATATATATATATATATTTTTGTTTCTTTTAATCAGTTAACATCGTTGACCGCCACCACGTGGGTCATTTCTCGTAGATTTTTTTTTTTATTTATTTAATGTTGCATTCAATAAACATTTGTAGATTTATTAACAATCAAATGAAAGTATCATTGAATCGTTCTTGATAAGAATATAAAATTTGTATTATTTTTTATTTAATTTTTAAGACATGTAAAAAGACAACACACGTAAAACATGTGTGTGTGTACCAATCAACATTTATTTTTATTTTTATTTTTTTTCTTCAGCTAATAATATTTTTTGTTTTGTTTTATTCATGTATCTTATCTTCTTATTATATATATATATAAATTACGTGTCACGTCGTTTGTCCACAATGTACTCCTAAACTACTGTACCGATTTGAATAAAATTGTGCAATTTCATCCAACTTGAAAGATAGGATAGTTTATATCTCAATTTATAATCGCAATTGACTTAAAGACGTGTGTATCGGACTGATTGTGAGCCACAGTAACGCGCAAAATTTGTGTAGAGGATATAAATATTCTTCTTTCCATTCTCGTTTTTCTCTATTTCGAGAGTTAGAGAAGAAGAAGAGACGTTCGAAGCAAGCGAAAGGGGTGAAAAATACGAAGGTAGGGGTAGGAAGTAGATGGTAAAGGGTAGTTGGTTGGGGTGGGGGATCTGGCAAGGTCGAGTTTCGATCGGTCGAGAGAAGAAATGCATCACGGATTGGGGTCAAGAGAGCACTCGGCTTTTTTAACTGGCTGCTGGTGGTGCTGCTGCTGTTGCTGTTGCTGTGGGGGGTGGTCGGTGGGTTGTGGTAGTGGTGGTGTATTCCCTATTGACTGTTGTTTAGGGTTCGACGTTTTTTCTTCAACCTCATGTGTACTCTTCTTTTCATTCTAATTCTTTCATTTATTTCAATTGTCAATTATCATTTATTTTTATTTTTTATGTTTTATATTTTTATCTTAGAAATTCCTCCTACTGTTATTAATACTTTTGAACTTTATTGTACGTGTTTTTTTCTTCTTCTTTTTTCAATTTAATTTAAAATTTATTTACTTGTGGAATTTATTATACTTTTTGAAATACACCCCCTCCCCTAGTTTCCTTTTTTATTATCATCCATTTTTGATTTATCAATTTGCAATATTCTTCCTGTTATTGTTCTGGTTTGAAAACAATTTAGCATTTTTTTTTTTTTTTAACTTACAAGGGGAAATCCCCCCAGCTTTGATATTTTTTTTTTTGTAAATTTGGTACACTTGTAATAGTCCATGATAAAATTCATATTATGCCTTTTAAACTTGATACAATGCAATAAAAATGTATTTAACAAAAACGCCAATTGAATTTACACATAGACGTGTATTTCCTTTAACTGTAGTAGTCTACTACAATATAGCAGCTATGTGTGTGGGTGTCTTAGAAATCACTGATACCTGTTATCTTTTCTTATATTGACTTAGAATTAAGTTTGTTTACCTTTTTGCAAGTTAATTTTGTTTTCTTTATATTCATTCTTGTTTAAAACTCTCTCTCTTTTTTTTTTATATTCGTTATTTTAAAGTATAAACTTAAATAAATTTTCTTGTTTTCTTTTTTTTTTTCTGGAAATATTTTATATTAATTTTCTAAGAAATCAAATCAAATAAACAAAGTTGCATTTATATTATACAGGGTGTCTGTTAAAGTAGTAGTAATAGTAGTAGTAGTAATACGACGAGTTACTTTCATCTCGAATCGATCGAATTTCAGCGAATTTCTGGGCCCCGTGCGCACGTGCAGTTGGGTTACTCTCCTCTCCTACCTTGCTAGTGGTGGTGTATAAATGTGTTGTATATACTGGGTGACATTTTTCAATTAAAATCTTCTCATATTTTTCAAGTCTCCTTTCTTGACTGATAAATCGTTCATTTTCGACAGTTTTTTGAAATCGTTTTAAAATTTCAAACAAATTTTTGTTTGTTTTGTAGGTAGTGGTAATTCTTATTCAAACGATTTATCCAGTCTATACATTTCATATATTACATACACACAGATATATATATATATGTGTTAAAGAGTGTGAGTGAGAGATATAAGACACTTAGCTGATATTTTCAATTCGTTGTCTCTGTGTTCACAACCACCCACCACCTTGTGTGGGAACGAGCCTTAAACTGGGCTCGATCAATCATTCATCCTAACGAATATTTTTATCTTCTTCTGTCTTGTCTCTCATTTCTTCTTTATTTTTTTTTTCAATGATACTTTTTTCGACAGGAAATTACGTGGTGACATCGATACGATCACAAGAAAAAATATCATCGTACAAATAATTGCGATTATAAATTGTGATATAAATAATCCTATGTTTCAAGTTGAATGAAACTGCACAGAGTGTGTAAAATTTTATTAAATTTCGTTCAGTAGTTTAGGAGTCCATTGCGGACAAACAACGGCATACGTAATTTCTTTATATTAAGATAAGATATTTAAACGTAAAAGAGAAAATGTTTAATAAATAGTAATATATATATATATATATAAATATAAATGATGGATAAAACTTTAGAATGGTGAGGAATAAAATTGGATATAAAAACTGTTTAGTAAATCTAATTTATTAATGAAGTACGTAATAGGAAATGGAATTAGAACGAATAAATGAATAAATTGTCGATGATTTAAGTATACCTACCATTTTTTTATTTTATTTTTTTTTTATTTTTTTTTTTATTTCTTATTATTCCTCTCCAACGCAGAAAATATGTAAAAGCTTGACGAAGGTAAAGAACGAATATATATGTATGAAAATAATCGTTAACACAATATAAGTTCGAGGTGGATGGTTGGCTAGGTTGATGGTTGGGGGTTGTGGAGGGATTGAGGGATTGAAGGGGGTTTAGGGGGTTGAGGGTTTATATGCGAAGAGGGCGGAGTCGAGACGACAGACGACTCGCTTCCTAGACTCGTTTTTCATGATGAAAAAATAAAAACTTTCACCCTTTCCCCAATCCCCCTTGTGTTGGAAGAAGAACCACGTAGCTTGTCATATTTTTCCTACAAAACGACGTTTATTGTTCGATTACTTTTTACAAAAAAAAAAAAAAAAAAAAAGAAAGGGTTACCAACCGCGTTTTAAATAATTTATATCTTAATTTCAATCATAAATCTAAACGTTTAATAAATATATTTTGTTTTTAATTTATTGTATCGTTGTTTTATGAAAAATATCAATAACAAAATGATATTTAAATTAAAATTTTAATAAAGGTTTAGAAAATAGAAGGTTTTGCATATAAATATTATAAATTAATTAATTAGTAAACTTTTGCTTTTAATATATTGGTATCGTTGTTTTATGAAAATTATAAATAATAATTTATATTTGAATATTTCTAAATTATTTAAAGTTAAATATAAAAGATATAAATAAAAATTTTTATTTATTTTTTTTCTAATTTAATGATACAATTTTTATAATCCTTAATATATTTTTTACATATCAAAGTTTGTTAAACAAATTACTTCGTATTTTTTTTTTTTTCTATTTTTTTTTTCCTCTCTCCTCCTTCCCTGTTAATATTCGTGCAAATTGAAATGTTACAACACTCCGGCAGGTATATTTGCATAGATATTTGTGACTGGTTGTATTAGTGTGATTTAAGGATGCATAAAAATGCAATTTGTTCTAGGTGAAACATTTAAAAAAAAAAAAAAAATGAAACGTTTCTTTTGAGAGGAGGCGTGACCTCGCATTTGTTGCGACAGCTTTTCGTTACAATATGCAATTTGTTCAGATCCGATAACAACGACACCGGTAAAAAAAAAACCACCCCCCAGTTAAAAATACATTTACTTTCTAGCATATTAAATTATGTTTTTTTTTTAATAAATAATCACCTCGACGATTGCTTTAAATTGCTTCCTCGTTTACAGAAAAAAAAAAAAAAGAAAAAAAGAAGAAATAAAAAAAATAGTGGAAAAAAATCTGCGGTAATATTTCAATCAATTTCTTTATTGAAACATCTAAATAAATTAAAAAGAAAAAAGAAAAAAAATTCAAATTTAACTGTAAATTCTGGTATAAAATTT